TATTTAAGAATAATTCCCACCATAATAGGTGGTGATTTATAATAGTATGTGGTGATGATATCCCGTTTTCTTTAGACGGTAATTCCACTACAAGTTACGTTTTCTATGGGTAACTTGTTTATACAATACAGCTATTATCTGTATGATATATTAAATGGTGTCGGATTTTCCGACAGATGAACATGGGTAAGAAATGAGGATCCAAATGGGAAACAGATGAGTCTAAATAGAACTTCCAACGCCAGAGAAATTCGTTAATATCTTCTTCTTGCCGCGCACGTACGAGCTGTCCAGACTAATTTACCACCGTTGGTGAGGCAGACAAGAAAAAAACACACAATTTACAATACATTCGCACACTGTGTGAGTTTACATTAGTTTACCGTGTGATTCATCCTGTTTCCTTTCACCTTTGATTGCTTAACTGTTCTTTGTATCGATATGTTTATTAATTTCTCTTTAATATCATTCTCCTATTAATATCAAGATGACATTCATGTCAAACTCTGGTGGGGCATCGTAGTCTTCGTCCTCAGGGCGTTGACTGGAGGTTCACAAACTGGGAAATGTGTACCTCTGTCCCTGTCTTAAGGGTGGGTATGTTGCATGTCTGTCTGTCTCTCTCTCTCGCTCTCTCACACACACACACACACACACACACACACACACACACACACACACACACACACACACACACACACACACACACACACACACACTCACACACTCTCACTCAAACTCACTCTCTCATTCACACACACGAGAGAAGACTCGAGAGGAGAGCGTATCTACGCTTGAAAGCTTCCTGTCGTATAAAACATAATAATAATTGTAGCAGTAAACCATCAGAGCGTTTTATTATCTTTCAACATAAGGAAATCCACATTTAGCTCATGACGTCCCTGCCAGACAAATGGGACTTTCCTGGGGTGATGTTCTCAATCTCTACACTCCCCTCGCCTCCTCTAATATGTGACGACTCGAGCATTAAACTATATTACGTTCAGGAGACCATTCTGGAGGGTTAAACTACTTTAAATATTTATTCTATTTTGCATGAAATTATTTGGCATTTAATTTTTCTCTCTCTCACACACACACACACACACACACACACACACACTCAGACACACACACAAAGTAGTTTCAAAGTGTTATATGACAAAGAGTGTTGGGAAGACGGGATACCACGAGCGTGCTCTCATCCTGTTACTACACTGAGTAATTACACTTAGGTAATTATACATACACACACACACACGCACACGTAAATAAAAGGAAGGTTTTCATAACTAAAATTGATAGTCCTTTTGACAATAGAGGAAGGAAACAGATGAGAAGGGTGGATGAGAGAGTGAAGCAGAAACGATTAATTGAAAATCTTCCGGCAGATTTTCTTCTGGTCTCTGCACCAAGCCAACAATACCAGCATCCTTAAGATGACATAAACTTATTATAGAACTCCACTTTGCCAGCTAATTGATCAGGTAATTCAACCTCTGAATTTACGTTAGTGTGTACAAATTGAATCGTAGCAAGTTTGTACCAACCTTTAGAGGCGAGCTGAGATGACTTGGGAACATTTGTGTGTAGGGAACATAACTTGTCAGGGAACATTGCCAACTTTTCAGTACAAAAGGCCTGTCAAAGTTAACTAGGGAGGTTGACGTAAATAACACTGTAGCGCTTTCAGGGGAGCGATCACCGGCATTTGTCTTCATGTAAAGGATCAGGCATGATACATACGCCCCCCAAAAATTTGACCAAAAATGTCCTTTAACTCGAAGCCCCGGTCATCCCATGAAGCCTGATGATTACTCTATTCCTTTTCCCCCGTTCCATTCTAAATCCTTATCCTGACCCCTCTTCCAAGGGCTATATAGTCGTAATGGCTTGGCGCTTTCCCCTGATAATGTCATTTCATTCGGTTCCATTCCCTCAACTCCACTATTCAAGTCTATTGTCATTAATCCTTTCTGGTTTGTGCTGTGACATTCCAGTTGCTCGTGTTTCTTCCTCAATCGATCCTGTTTGTCCTGCAATCGATCCTGTTTCTCCTGCAATCGATCCTGTTTGTCCTGCAATCGATCCTGTTTGTCCTGCAATCGATCCTGTTTGTCCTGCAATCGATCCTGTTTGTCCTGCAATCGATCCTGTTTGTCCTGCAATCGATCCTGTTTGTCCTGCAATGGATCCTGTTTTTCCTACAATGGATCCTGTTTCTCCTACAATGGATCCTGTTTCTCCTACAACCGATTCTGTTTCTCCTTAGTCTCTTATAACACTTCCAACATCAGCCTTGTTCCCTCCCACAGTTGGTCGATTCTCCCACAGTCCTTGCTCATCTAACACCCATTCCACTCATAATTATCCATACCGTTACCAATGCTCCACACCCATGCCATTACCAATGTTCCACACTCATTTAGCCACATATAACAGACATATCAATCAAGCTGTCCCACATTCAAGCTCATGGACTGATGTATATTTTTTTTTTATTTCGGGATATGTCTTCTGCTGTTCCAAATTGTGCTCATCCTTACACATATCTTTCGTATGAAAGATGTGCATATGAAAGATATGAATATCTTTCATCAATTTCCTTCCCCTACATCTGTGTTATCAATTCCTCCCACCAACACCTCCCTTATCAAGTCCTTCCGCTACGCCTGGTTTATTAGTTTCTACCCCTCTACACCTGCTTTATCAAGTCCTACCCCTTTCTCTTGCTTTATCAATTCCCTCTTAAACCTACTTCAAACGAGTTTCTTTGGGGTAATGTTCTCCCTAGCGTGTTATTATAAACCGTGTTTGTGTATTGAAAATACTTATATTTTCGAAATGAAAATCGAAAATTTTCGAATATTTTCGAAATTTTGTGTAAATAAACCGCAGTGCCTGGAGAAAACTCTCTTTAAATAGACACATTACGCTTTTTTTCGCCTCGAAGATAAGTGCTTTTGATCTACGCTGAAATATAACACAAAATTTGTTGTAAACAAAGACTAAGTTTACATGATAAAAGCATTTTATATTAATTTATAAATCCACATTTTATTTTAATTTATAAATCTCTATTTTATTTTATAAATCCAACTAGAATATATCAGTTTAAATTTTATCTTACGACTTAAGAGGTTCATTTTGAGTTTTTTGTAATCATAAATCTACAAAAGTAGGTTTTCTAATTTGACTTGTGTTGATCTAATAATTTGTTTTAAATATAAAAATGTCTTTTTTATTGTATCTATATTTTTATTGTTATGAATTAGTCTTCTTCTCTTTTCATATAGTATGTTCGTATCTCCCTGTCTCTTCCTTCTCTCTCTCTAATCTCTGTCTGTCTGTCTCTTCCTTCTCTCTCTCTAATCTCTGTCTGTCTGTCTCTTCCTTCTCTCTCTCTAATCTCTGTCTGTCTGTCTCTTCCTTCTCTCTCTCTAATCTCTGTCTGTCTGTCTCTTCCTTCTCTCTCTCTAATCTCTGTCTGTCTGTCTCTCTCCTCTCCCTTCTCTCCCTCCTCTCCCTCTCTCCCCCTCTCCCTCTGCCTTTCCCTCTCTCTCCCTCTGCCTTTCCCTCCTCTCCTTCTCTCTCCTGGTCGAGGCAACGACAACTTTTTCTCTCGTTGTCAGTCTCCGTTAGACCCTGAGAGTGAGTGCCCAAAAGGTCGTTACCTAGAATATTGTTTTTAATTGATTTAATTAGTTGCCTTTGCATCTGTAAATATGCTTACATATGTACTTACGCATACATATCCATTTATATGAAAGACAATGTCCTAGATTGGAGACCGGACGCTTGTGGCTAGGCTCATTAAACTTTTCAGGGTGACGAGTGAGAGGTTAAGGGACTGTTATACGCTGACTGGGGTTGGCCCTATAATCTTAATTTAAGGATGTCGGCTCCCATTCTATCCTTCGTAAAGCTGGAGATAAAAGATGGGTAACTGATTGCATATAATTGCATCAGTACAAACAACCTTGGAATACAAATTGTTAACCACACTACCGTGAACAGTGTTTGTCTTCCCAACTCATGGGATCGGTGGATATATATATATAATATATATATATATATATATATATATATATATATATATATATATATATATATATATATATATATATATATATATATATATATATATATATATATGTCGTACCTAGTAGCCAGAACGCACTTCTCAGCCTACTATGCAAGGCCCGATTTGCCTAATAAGCATAGTTTTCCTGAATTAATATATTTTCTCTATTTTTTTCTTATGGAATGATAAAGCTACCCATTTCATTATGTATGAGGTCACTTTTTTTTTATTGGAGTTAAAATTAACGTTGATATATGACCGAACCTAACCAACCCTACCTAACCTAACCTAACCTACCTTTATAGGTTAGGTTAGGTTAGGTAGCCGAAAAAATTAGGTTAGGTTAGGTAGGTTAGGTAGTCAAAAAACAATTAATTCATGAAAACTTTGCTTATTAGGCAAATCGGGCCTTGCATAGTAGGATGAGAAGTGCGTTCTGGCTACTAGGTACGACATATATATATATATATATATATATATATATATATATATATATATATATATATATATATATATATATATATATATATATATATATATATTATGTGTGTGTGTACTAGAGCAACGTTTGAACATAAGTGTATATTAAGTAGGTTGTAAATTTGATTACTTATCTGTATGTTCAAGAAAGGATACCAGACTTTTCGGCCATTTCTCATTTAACTTTGCATTGTGACTGGTGGGTGAGAGAGGACTGTCATAGGATGGTCCGCCTTCCATGTTTCAAACATTTGTGTTGAACTGGGCACAATTCATTCACACACACACACACACACACACACACACACACACACACACACACACACACACACACACACACACACACACGCTCACGCTCACACACACACACGCTCACGCTCACACACATGTAAATATAAGAGTGAAAATGTTTTAGTGAAATTTAAAGGAGACCAACCATAAAACTGGTGGTGTGAGAGCGCCGCGTCTCGTACACGTTCCGGCAGAGGTTAAGTGGTGAGTGGTACCCGGTAATGTGTGCTGGCAAGCCTCGTCCTGAGGTGTTGTGGTGGGCTGAAGAGACCGCTCCAAGGAGGCCCAGAAGCCCTGAAACACGCTCGAAGGTGCTGTAAAGCAGTGCGAGGGATCCCGATATCCTGTTGGTTTTCGGTCGCTCCTGAAAAAAAGAGGAAAACTTGAAATTTGCCTCAGTGTCGAGGGTAGAATGTGTACAGCGGGAGTTAATGGGGAGGGGAAATGGGGATGGGTAATGGGGAGGTGGATTACTGCTTTGATTTGATGTCAGTCTTTTAAAAGCCAGCAGCTCGGGGAAGGTAGGAAGATAATGAAACAAAAGTCATCATAATAAAACAAACATTGAATCATTCGTGGATTCTCAGGTCTAGGTTTCTGGCAATTTGATTTAAATATACTCAAGATATACACAGAGACGAATATACATGAGATATACGCGGATTTACATGAGATATAATTAAGTAAACTGACACAAGTAGAACTAGACATAACGAAACACTCTAACAAATGAACGATATAAAACAAAAATTGTATCCCACTCTTTGTAATTATCAAAAGAAGGCGCCAAGAAGAGACGACCAGGTAGCACTCTATATAACATAAAATATATGTAGGAGAGAAGAGTTGTTGGGCCCACCAGGCGACCGAGGACCAGGAGCACACGCGGCTGTCCTTATTTACAATTCTAAACAAAACAAAACTTAAACTCGCTACAGCAGAAGCCGTACGACCACCGTCAGCTGTCAGATGGTCTCCAGAGAAAGTTCTGGCGAGAGATGAATGTGTGTGTTGTCTCTCTTTGCGAGGCAAAGAGAAGGAGAACAGACAATGTTGAAAACTTACCTTTTATTTTTTTATCTCACGCTCCTCGTTTTCTTTATCTTTGTTTATCTCTGTTCCTCTTTTTTTTTTTTTTTTGAGTGTGTTAAATCCAGCACTCGATATGATAGCACACAAATGTTATTTCAATTATTAACTATGTCGGTACACAGAGAAATGACATTATCGTTATATATATCAATGTACAAATCCACAGGAGCTGGAAGTGGCACAGTCGAACTGTGCACAGTCGAAGCGTACATCTGGGAACACCCAGTACACAGGTTCGAACCCTCATTAAGGCACCTGTGGATTTGTTCAACTATATTAATCATATCTTGTTTAAAACCCGATTGACTGACTGACTCCAAACTCGGATTTACGAATAGCTCTCGGTGTCATTTTTAATATAATTATAATCTATTTGAACAAGAAAACTGTTCTGAGGACCACACTGAACTGTTGACATATGTTCAAAGTTTACTTGCCACTGAACATGTTTCCCCTCTTGAACTAGATATTTTATTCAGAAGTCACTGGATGAAATAATTAAGCAGCCAAGATAGACTTTTCGTGTTATTCTCCGAAAGCGTCACTAAGATTGACTGGACATAAATGATTTGATGTTGGGAATAGACTTACTTGAGAGATTTGAGCCAAGTTGGAGTTTACATAAATATAAAGTATTCGCCAAGTTGGGATTGGGTATGAGCTACGAGGAGAGACTACGGGAGTTGAATCTCACGTCGCTGGAAGGCAGAAGAGTTAGGGGGGACATGATCACCACATACAAGATTCTCAAAGGAATTGATAGGGTAGATAAGGACATGCTATTTGGCACAAGGAGCACACGCACTAGGGGACACGGGTGGAAATTGAGTGCCCAAATGAGCCACAGAGATATTAGAAAGAACTTTTTTAGTGTCAGAGTGGTTGACAAATGGAATACATTAGGCAGTGATGTGGTGGAGGCTGACTCCATACACAGTTTCAAATGTAGATATGATAGAGCCCAATAGGCTCCAGAAACTGTACATCAGTTGATTGCTAGTTAAGAGGCGGGACCAAAGAGCCATAATTCAACCTCCGCAAGCACAACTACGTGAGTACACACACGCGCACACACACGCGCGCACACACGTACGCGCACACGTGCGAGCGTGCGTGCACGCACGCAAGTGAGCACCACAAGCGAACGAGGTTGTTGGTGGGTGTGATAAAGCCAAGTGCTTTAGGAGGGTATTTACGACCTGATTATGACCAAAGTTAATTAACACCGTCCTTATTACCTTCATTATTCCTTGACACAAAAGTAAGAGGCGAGATAGCAACACAGTAAAGAGGAAAATAAGTGTAAGCAAAGCACATCAGACAACCGAAACAGACCGGTTTACTTAAGCAATAATATGCAAACTAACGATGCAATATGCAAATGGAGTCAATATATTCATGTACTTTTAATGCATATTAAATCGTTGGCTTACAAAAAGGGGTTTGTGTTGACGAAGCGCCGTCAGCTGGTGCAAAGGTGAAGAGAATTATGAAGAGAAAGTGCTCAGCCATTGCGACTTTATAGCACCTGGGGCCAGATTCACGAAAGCACTTACGCAAGCACTTACGAACGTGTACATCTTTCCTCAATCTTTGACGGCTTTGGTTACATTTATTAAACAGTTTACAAGCATGAAAACTTGCCAATCAACTGTTGTTATTGTTATAAACATCCTCCTGGTGCTTCGGGGCTCATTAACTGTTTAATAATTGTAAACAAAGCCGCCAAAGATTGAGAAAAGATGGACAGGTTCGTAAGTGTTTGCATAAGTGCTTCCGTGAATCTGGCCCCTGGAAGGGATGTGAGGATAGGGATTTGGGATAGAGGGAACGAATGGTGGCCCAACCACTTGGACGGAATCGAGTGCAGGGAATTCGAACAGCCAACTTGTGCAGCCAACTAGTGCATGCAACAGGTCCACTGTGTGTAAATCTAATCATTACAACGTTCAGTGGAAAATATTAAAACCTTACTCAACACAAAAGCATCCGTGATATTTTTCCATCTCATTATCAGTAGATTAAGATCGAATCAATTTGCAGATATGTCTTGATGCTGGAGGGTATATTAAGTCCCTTCCAAAATGATTCAGTGTACTTACATGATTTTTATCTGAATTTACCTGAATTTGCTCCATCATCCGACAACCAGTAGGTGAAGTTCTATCCACGTAGCCCCATCATTCACATTTTGGTTTAATAGACTGAGTTTATTATAATAGATTTCGTGAATAACAGTTACGAATGATAGAGCCGCAAGTTCTGGAATTTCTAAATCAGTCTTTAACTCCAAAAGACTAATGGAGATAAAGATTTATTTTTCAATCAGATCAAATCGAAAGTTTAATTCATGTCTGCACATTTATAATTGAGAAAGTTTAAAGGAGAAAAATTTAATTGCATTAGTTATCTAAGATTGTTTCACAGTAACAGCATAGAACGAAGTCGTCAGCATTATAAGAATCAGAAATTTTATTCGTGACAACTTATGTGTGTAAGCAAATCCACAAGGGCCGTGATGAGGGTTCGAACTTACGTCCGGGATGATCTCGGATCGTTTGGGGAAATCCCAAAGTAAGTCTGAACCCGCATTCACGGCCCTTGTGGATTGGTTCATTTGATATATCACGCTGTTGTAATTTGTGTGTGTTTGTGTGTGTAAATCACGTAGAAATTAGCACCTGATGAATAATGTGACAGTGATGTAAAATGAAGAAAAATGAGACAGGAAATTCCTTAAGTACTTTCGTATTAATCAATATTATTCAGAAGTATTAATACGAGAGGATTAATATAACTTATAGAAATCCTTTTTCATCAGCATTTATAACAACTTAAGCAAGTCCTTTCATCACAAGTATTAAGAGTGAATACTAAAAATTTCAGTATTTGGTAATGAGACTTATGAAGTAAATCATAAAAAAATTGCCTGAAATAGCTTTTTCTGAGGTTGTAATGTACCTCAGGTCTAACCTTTCGACCCAAGGCCTAACTAGGTAGGCCTATGAAAAAGCACGATGGACGTACATCAACACACCTCATCACTTGAATATCTTACAACACCTAAAATAACCACTACCGGGATTCATCAAGGACTAAAGTGTCCACCTACCAAACCTATTCATCTTTTCTCAATCATGACTGCTTGTTTCGTTGCGTTAGAGTTTGAGCTCTGAACCCGCTAAACACACAACGAAACTACGACGTTGGTACAACGTTCGAACAAGTTTTAACACCTCCTAACCAGTTATAACAACCAATATAGCAAGTTGTAACAACGTTCTAATACGTCATAAACACGTTAAGCCAAGATGTAACAACTTTATTACAAGTTGTAACAAGCGGAAAATAGAGACAGTTTCGGTTTGTGTTTCCAGGGCGAAGCGCTTCAAGGTTGTCTGTAACGATGATAATCTTGGGTTGAACACGATCTTACAGTGTTTCCCAGCTCATAAGCTGTTTAATAAATACCGACAAGGTTCACAAGAATGAGGGAAGGATGTACAGGTTTCGTAAAGTGATACTTATGAAAGATTGCTCCTGCAAGGGCACTCAGAGTGTTGTAGAGGTGTTTCTCCTGTAAAGTGTTCGGAATATATATTTTTTAATGTTGAACTTGATGCCTTACAAAAGTCTGAAGGATATCCCCGTGGCCAAGACTGACTAGCAAAGATCCTTTATTCCTGAACGACGTTGGAGAAATCTTTGGTGTATGTTCCTTGGAAGGTTCTGACTATAGCTGGAGTTTCAAAAAAAAAAAAAAAATCAAAATTCAAATGATTATTTAGGTAAAGTACATACATACAAGGGGCGATACAGATTTTGATGAATTTATAGATAGACCTAGTACATACAATGCCTAAAGCCACTAGTTATATTTGGAACAAGAGGTCAAGGATGGTTTAATTAATTTATCTTTTAAACACGTTGGTCGTAAATTAGTATTGCGGCTACCATCTTATTGAGAAGTATTTTAATTAGAAAAAGGTATGTGTGTGTGTGTGTGTGTGTGTGTGTGTGTGTGTGTGTGTGTGTGTGTGTGTGTGTGGGAAAATGAGAAAGTTGTAGTGTGGTAAAACGTGAAAATCAAATAATAAGACAATTCGACATTGAACCTACACACAATGTCAATAACCCTATAATACAATTTTTGCTCCCTGAATGCAATTTTAGTCTGCGCAAAAAAAAAAAAGAATTAAAATTTTAAATTAAGATTTAATCTACGGTGCGATGAACGGGTAAATATGTATAGCTTTTTTTCACGATTTTCCA